GACTGCGGCCCTGGCCCTTTCCGCCCCGCCCGGAGCGCGGCGGGTTCTGCGCGCCTGTAGACGGATGGCTGAGCCACCGCCGCGGCCACCAGGGGGCGGCAGAGCAGCGCGGCCCAAGGAGCCGCCTGCAGGAGGGAGGCGGGTGCGGGGCTGCAGAGCGGGTCCCACGCCCGCCCGGGGCCCCCTAGGGTCCAGGTTCTTTCTCAGGTCGCCCCGAGCTCTGCAGCTGAAGAGCTGTACCCCGAGACCCTCATGGCTCCTGGCCCCCCGGGACCCGGGTCGCTCAGGGCCCTCTGCAGGCGAAGGCGCTAAGCGGGGCTCTGTCTGTGGGGTCCAGCTCCAGCTCCAGCTCCGGCCCCGCTGCACACCGCCCTGTGCGGGCAGCAAGCTCCACTCCCCCAGGGAGCCAGGGTGGCCTCCCCGGACAGTTACTCCCTCATGGGTGACTTTGAAAGAGTGACGTAGCCTCTCTCGAGCCTCAGTTTCCTCATCTGTAAAATGGGGGTTTCAGCCCCAGCTGCGGCTTAGGGTAAATCGCTCCTGTGGACCCGGGGCTGCGGCAGCTCAGAGAGCTGGGGACGGGGCTTTTATCTTTCTTATTTATCACCTAAGTGAGAAAACCCCAAATCACCACCACCCCGTTACTAAATCACTTCTGAATAAAGAGCTGAGCCGTGAGGCCCTCGGTTGTGGTGGTGCAAGCCTGAGATCACAGCACTCCAGGAGGCTGAGGCAGGAGGATGGCGAGTTTGAGCCCAGCTGGGGCAATTGGGTGACCTAGTAAAATCCTATCTCAAAATAAAAGATAAAAAAAGGGGTGGGGTGTAGCTCAGTGTGAAAGCCCGGCCTTCAGTCCCTGAGCTCCAGCACACATGAAGACACAGGTACTTCCATGTCCATGAAGCAATGCTTATATGAAACCGTATTTGGCCCTGTGGCCCTAAATGCTCTTCCTTTCTTTTCTGTTCTATTTTATTTCATTCTTATTTGTTTGTTTTTGTTTTAAAACAGGGTTTCACTCTCTAATTCAGGCTGGCCTTGGACTCACTATGTAGCCTAGGCTGGCCTTGACCTCAGGGAGATCCTCCTGCCTCAGCCCCTCAGTGCTGGGATTGCAGGAGTGTGCCACCCTGCGCGGCCCTTATTGCATTTTTTGAAAACGCCCATGGGAGACCATTCAATTGGCCCGGGACCCTCAGACGGCTGAGAGCCTCAGGGCAGAGGTCGGAAGCCGGGAGAGTCCGGTCCGTGGACTGACGGTAGCGCGGCGTCGGTCCCCAGGAGAAACTGAAGAAGACTTCGGAGGAGGTGAGCAAGTACGAGAGCAGATCCAGGGAGATCAGCAAGACCTTGGAGAGCCTCAAGAGCGCGGTGCAGAGCCTGTTTGAGAAGATCAACTGCGACGCCAGCAGGATCCTCGTGCATCTGGGGGAGACGGGGAAGATCACCGACACCAACCTGCCCCAGTACTTCGGTGAGTCCCTCCCGCCTCACAGCTTCCCTGTCGCCTGGCCCGCCTGGCCTTCTCCTCTGTCCTGCGCTCCGCTGGCTGTACGCCCCGCCCCCACCGCCAGGCCGCGCTGCACCCATCCCCCAGCTCCGCCCTGCCCCGCCCCTCGTTCCTCTCGCAGGGCCTTTGCACAGCCGTCCCCATTAGGCTTATCCGTGCCCAGCGCATCCTCGTTCTCAGATCGCACTTTCTGTCCTGTCCCCAGCCGGGCCTCCGTCCCCTGCCCCATCCGAAGCTGCCCTGTCCCCCACCACCCGTGGCAGCCCTAGGAGCTGCCGTTTCAGTGTAGGAGGTGGGCTTTACTCTCTGACTCTGCGGATCCTGAGGACTCAAAGCAACTTTCAGATGCAAATACTTTTTTTGTGGTTTTGTTTTTTTCCATCTTTTTGAGACAGGGTCTCATTATGCAGTTCAGGCTGACCTTGAGCTCACTTTGTAGCCCACACTGTCCCCGAACTCACAACGATCCTCCTGCCTCAGCCTTCCGAGTGCTGGGATTACAGGCATGTGCCACCACGCCTGGCTCTTCTTTTTGTTTTTTGAGACAGGGCCTCACTACCTAGTTCAGGCTGGCCTTGAGGTCATGGCGATCCTCCTGCCTCAGCCCTCTGAGTGCTGGGCTCCCAGACATGTACCCCTATGCCTGGCTCCGTTGCACAGAAAGCACTTGAGGGCCCTGATTTTTAACTAAAGTAACAACAGCTTGGAGAGTGAAGACCGTTCAGGGTCATTCCAGGAGGAGTGCAGGGAACAGCATTTCAGGCAGAAGGAACAGTGTGAGCTAAGGCTCAGAAGCCAGAGCAGTGCAGGCTGGGAAAAAACAATAGTTTCATAAGGCTGTGCTGCCCATTCCCAGTCTGTATCATACCCAGCGTTCTCGGCCTCGTTACCACACCGGCTGAGATTTGCTGCAGTGGGACTCCTGCAGGCCGGAGCGCCCCGCGTGTATCTCTGGGCTTCATGCATAGAGGAGTCAGGGCGTTCGGCCTCCAGAGCCCAGTGCTGCCCTCTGAGGGTGACTGTGCGTTCTTGCAGCCATCATCGAGAAGCGGACGAATGACCTGCTGCTGCTGGAGTCCCACCGCCGCATGCAGGAGGCCGACGGCGCTGAGGCCGAGGCCCCGCAGCCCTTTGTCAACCCCTTCTGGGCCGGCTCCGTGCTCCTCAAGCCCCCCGAGCCCGTCAAGGTGGTGCCGCCTGTGTTTGGGGCCGACCCCTTCAGCGAGCGTCTGGAGGACGGTGAGTTCTGCCGTCCCCGGCTCTAAGGCGCCGTACTTACCTGAGGGCAGCAGTGGGGCCCATTTCCCCCTCCACGAGACCACTCGGGGTCCTCTTGCTGGGCCACTTGTCCCGCATGATTCCCTGGGGACTCTCCTCCCTGTGACCCCGGGAAGTGACCCAGGTGGGTGACTCAGCCACAGAGTTCTGAGCTTTGTTCTCCTGGCTGTTTCCTAAAATCAGAGCTGCCAGGCATTATGGGACTCACCTAATAATCCCAGCACTCTGGGAGGCTGAGGCAGGAGGACTGCAAATTAGAGTCCAGGCTGGGCAACTCACCGAGACCATCTGAAGTTATTTTTTAAAAGGTGACAGCTGATCAGTGGCAGCAGGTCAGGTGTTCCCCACCTTAGCACAATGTCCTCAGCCCTTTGAGTGACTGCGCGGGACTGGGCGCAGCTGTTGGCAGTGCTGTCCCCACAAGGACATGATGTCTTTGTGCAGTGCACATCCTTAACAGCTGTGCATCCCAGCCTGTCTCACATTCTTCCCGGGGAGGAGCAGCAGTTAGCGGTTTGCATTCCTGGAAGTTCAGTCTGCCCAGCCGACCCTCCTGAGCCCCAAGAGCGTTTCCCAGCTCCGTGGAGGGCCCCCGGAAGTCTGGGCAATGCTGGGCCCCTCATGCGTCTCTCTGTGGCACAGCTGATCACCCGCTGGAGCACAGCACCCTGCGGCAGCTGGTGGTAGACACGTACCTCTCCAAGGAGGCTCGGAACAAGGAGCTGCACCCCGACGGGCTCTCTGACAAGGGCGACGACCTGAGGCCCAAGAAGAAGCTGACACTCTGAGCCCCGGGGCCGCGTTTGTACCAGAATGGAAAGAATAGATGTTTTGTTCCGTAACCTCTGGGCCTTTGCACGACCAGTGCTGGGAAAGCTGGGTGCCCAGGGTGGTGTGGGCATGAAGGGCGGGGCTCACGGCCACCACACGAGGAGACTTGGGTGGATCAGTGCTGTCCCTGAGGCCCCCAAGGGTGACCAGCCTGGGCCATCAGACAGTGCAGGGGCGAGCAAAATGGAGGCCACATTACACACCAAATACCGCTTTGTGGTTGGTTACTAAAGACTGAACCTGTGGGTTTTGCGCTGAGTTACATCCCCAGCCCTTTTTATTTTTTAAATTTTTATTTATGTGTTTATTTTTGGCATTTTTGAGACAGGGTCTCACTCTGTAACTCAGGCTGGTGTCAAACTCACTAGATCTTCCTGTCTCAGCCTCCAGAATGCTGCCATTACAGGCCTGTGTTCCCACAGCCAGCCCTTATTTTTTGAGACAGGATCTCACTAAGTTGCCCAGGCTGGGCTCAATCTTGAGATCCTCCTGTCTCAGCCTCCTAGACTGCTGGATTCCAGGCGTGTGCCACCACACATGGTCAGCATATTGCTCCCGAGACCCCAGGGCCACACAGGGCACAGTGTGAGCTCACAGCAGGGCCTCAGGCCACAGTGGCCGTGTGTCTCCCGTGTGCAGCTGTGTGTGTATCTGCCTGTGGTTTCTCTTGGGGGCCAGCGGGTCACTCCGGAGCTGTGCACAGACCCTTCCCGGCTGCACTATGTGATTCCTGAGCCCTAGGACGCTCCGCTTCCGGTTCCTTCCTGTGGCCCCAGCCATGCCCACACTCCGCTGGCCAGTCACGCGACCAGACTGCCTGTCCCCAGGTTGTCACAGGTGCCCCCAGCCCAGGGCCCAGTTCCCAGCCGTGTGCAGCTGGGGAGAGGGACACTCTCATGTCCACTGAGGGGCAGGAGAGCGCTGGGAGCAGCTGGGAGCCCACAGCCCCCACTGAGCACAGACTGTGGGAGTGGGGGGTCCAGCGGGCTCCGCTGAGCTCCTGGATGCAGCTGTGCCTGAAGCCCTGGGGCTGTCTCACGCACGCCCATCTATCCAGCTGGGAGTTCTGCCGCTGCCACAGGCCTGACTGCTTCGGCTGTGGCTCTGGTCATCACAATCGGGTCAGCTCGAGCCCAGCTGTGGACCCCAGGCAGGGCCAGAGCTCAGTGCCCCCGGCCTGTGGCAGGGAGAGCAAGCAGAGCAGCCAGACACCGCCCTCGGGCTGGCGGGGCGTTGGCCCTGGGAGCCCTGGCCTCGCACAGCCCCTCCGTGAGCGACGCTCCCTTGGCACCCAAGGAAGGGGCTGGGCATCAGCAGCGCCCCGCGCAGCCTATGTGCGGCTTCGCAAAGGCACCTCGGGCGGCAGAGGACGCCAGGCCAGTTTCGTCACATCACGTTTATTTGACCGCGGCGGGGGCGTTCAGCCAAGCTACGAGCCCGGCGGCTGCGCGGAGGCGGAGGCGCGCTCAGTCCTTCTCCTCGCCGTGGGTGATGATGTGTACCAGGTTCTTGTAGTCCAGGTTGCCGGTCACGTCGGGCGGGAAGGCCGTGAACATCTGGTCGATCTGCAAGCAGCCGGCAGGGGGCGCTGGGGCGGCGGGAGGCGGGGGCGGGGCGCTCCGGGCCGGTCCCCCAGTGCCCTGCCCCTGGCCCCCCGCATCTAGGTGTGAGTGTGTGCATGTGTGTATATGTATCTGTGTGTGGTCCTGAGGACTGAACCCAGAACCTTCGCATGAGCTACGCCTCTGGCCCATTTTTAATTCGGTGACAGGGTCTCACTGAGCCACTAAGTTGCCCAAACTGGGCTCAAACTTGTGATCCTCCTGCCTCAGCCTCCAGCGCTGGGGTGACAAGCGTGAGCCACCACGCCTGGCATACAATTTTTCTTTCTTTTTTCCAAGACAGGCTCTCACTATGGAGCCCAGGCTGGCCTCGAACTCTTGGCCATCCTGCCTCAGTCCCTCGAATGCGGGGATTACAGGTGTGTGCCATACAATTTTTAATAAAATGTGGAATTTGATGAAAACAGGTTCCAGAGGCTCCAAAGACACTGTTTTAAATAGACTCGTTAAGGTTCATTAATACTGGTGCCAGGGACAAAGGCCAGCCCTCTGCGGCACCTTTGGCAAACTGCCAAGCGGCCCTTCTTGCAGACCCAATACTGTTGGCTGTTGAAAAACGACTGCAGCAAAGACACACCCTATGATGCCCGATATAAGCTCAGTGGCTGGGACAGCTGTGCAGTGCACAACTTACACAACAGTATGGGGCAGCCCCTCAGGGCATACGACATGGATGCTCTGACTACTGCCTCTGTGTATTGTGGGGAAGACGGATGAGGTTCGATTTTTAGAACTGTCATTTTTGGCCTGTTTCCCCATTTACAAAATGACAGGGGTACCCGTCCTCCCGGGTGACAGAAGGTGAGCCAAGGGCTGGGCAAGGAGGGGCCGGTCTCTCGGTGTGGGTTTCGGGGAGCACCCGAAGGGGCCCGTTACCTCCTCCTTGGAGAACCGCTCTGCCTGCGTGGTGAGCATCTCGCGGACACTGCAGAGATGAAGGCAGGGCCGTGTCAGGGGTGGGGAGGAGGCCGGGGTCCCCTCGCCCCCGGGGCCCACTCACTAGTCAGCCTTCAGCACGCCTTTGCCTTCCGGATCGAACACCTTGAACGCGTTGAGGATGGTCTCCTCAGGGTCCGCGCCTGAAAGCGAGCCGGGGAGGCCCGGGTCTGAGCAGCCCTCGTCCCAACACGGGAGACAAGGGCAGGCCCAAGGCCAACCGAGCCAGGGTTTGGGTTTTTTGAGACAGGGTCTCGCTGTGTACCCCAGGCTGGCCTTGAGCTCAGGGCGATCCTCCTGCCTCAGCCTCGGGAATGCTAGGATCACAGGCGCATGTGCTAGCACACTCGCTTTTGGAAGCCAGATGTGGAGAGATAGGGAGTTGTGACTTTGGAACCTGCTGGATGTGGTTCCAAGCAAATGGAGCTGCACTTGTGTCCTCAACACCGGGGGAGCCACCCAAGTCGCCCGCCCTGGCCGGCCCCCACCAGCCCCGCGCCTCAGAGACGGCGCATGCGCACTCACGCCCGCCCCTTACCCTTCAGCTTCTCCCCGAACATGGTCAGGAACACGGTGAAGTTAATTGGACCCGGAGCCTCCTTGAGCATTTCGTCGATCTCTTCATTTTTCACGTTCACACGCCCTGGGCAGACACACAGGACTCAGAGCGGGCAAAGTGGCATTTGTCACCCACCCCAGGCATCTGGCCCAGGAACGGTCAGGGGTGGTGGGGGCACAGGTCGCAAAGGAAAGTGAGACGGTTTTGGAAGCAACCCGGCAGCCCACGCGGGGAGGATTGAGCGGTCTTTAGTGTCTTCAGAGCCTAGAACCTGTTGGACAGACTGATTGATCAGTGTTTTGGTCTTTGGAGAAAGGGTGTCCTTATGCACTTCAGGCTGGCCTTGAACTCGCACCAATCCTCCTGCCTCGGCCTCCTGAGCACTGAGATTATGGGCATGCCTCAGCACTCAGGCTAATTTTTGACTCAGACGGAAAGTGCTGGTATCGTAAATTAGCCCTTCCCAGCGGGAGGTGGGAGAGCCAGCTCAGCATCACTTGGGGAAGGTTTTTCAAGTCATTCCTGCTGCAGCCCACAGCAGCGGAGGTTCTGGCACACCTGCTCTCCTAGCACAAGCCCAGAGCATCTTCATGGTCCACAAACGTGACAAAGCAGCCCCTTCTTAAGACAGCTTATGCTTTAAATATAAAAAGTAACAGTAGCTACGAACACAAAGGGTGCTCTGTAGAATTGTGCAGTGCCCAACCTGCACAACGATTCGTGGTGGTCCTGGATCTGAGGACGGCAATTAGTGATGCCGGGTGGTGACTGGGTGCATTTTGAAAAATCTCCATGCACTGCTGCTCACGCTGCTGAAATGTTAAGTAGTAGGCCTAGAGTGACTTGGAGGAAAGGCATGGAAGTGTGAACAGTGGAATGCGGCCTGTGTGCATGTTGTTTTCTATTGTGAGCTGCCCCAGAATTCTAAAGTCAGAAGCAGCTATTTCAAAAGCAAAGGGAGAGACGCGAGGAGACAGCTGCTCCTTCCCAACTCCCCGTGTTTGTCTCAAAGGCCGGTGGGGGCTGCGCTCTGCTGGCGCTCGGCTCCCCCAGCGGGTGCGGGCAGGAGACCCGCGTGGGGAGGGGTGGCAGTGATGTACCCAGGGCTGCAAACGTGTCCCTCAGGTCGTTCTTGTCGATGAAGCCGTCCCGGTTCTGGTCCATGATGGTGAAGGCCTGCGAAGGGAGGGTTGGTGTCAGCCCAGGAGCCGCTGGAGGGCGCAAGAGTGCCAGGGACCGGGAGGTGGGGTTTGAGGGTCGCCAAGGAGCGCACAGGAGGTTGTTAGGTCAAGAGCCAAAGATGGAAGCTGGGTGTAGGGGTGCACAACTGTAATCCCGGCACTCTGGGAGGCTGAGGCAGGAGGATCGAAAATTCAAGCCCAGCTTGGCAACTTAAACCCTGGGTGGTGGTGGGGATTGCTGGCATGTAGATGAGTGTGAGTCTCTGGGCTGACTGGGGAGCAGTTATTTCACAAATCAAAAGACTACGTTTCACAGCTCGCGACATACTGCCTGTCCCTCTCACGTGGCAAAAAAGAAAAAATAGAAACCAGGTGTTTTCCGCTGTTAATAACTAGTGACCCAGGGCCAGAGATATAGCTCAGCGGCACAGCGCCTGCCTAGCAAGCATGAGGTCTGGGTTCAATTCCCGGCAACAAATAAATAAATAATGACCCAGTATCGATGGAGACGTGGGGAAAGGCGATCCCTCTCGTCGAGGGTGGATGGGAATAGGAACTCACGCGCAGAGAGCTCTGGAAAGAATTCCAGTGGCAGCTCTGTTCCCGCCCTCCCCGCCACCAAGTTCTTTGACCCCAGGTTCCGCTTTCAGGAATTTTCCAAGGAAACAGCCAGCAACAGAAACGAGGATTTGCTCTTTATAACACTAGGCCATTGTAAACAAACACATCGTCCAACGAGAGAGGACGTTGATGCTGAGTTGCTCAACGAAAAAAATAGTGCGAGTACTCATGGGCAGTTTGGGAGACTGTAACTCTGCAATAAGCAGATACGTAACCCGTAAGCCCTGGACGGCACAGACGAACACGCAGACTCATTGTTTCCCGTGGACAGAACTGTGGGCTCCTGCTGTGTATGGTCGTCTTTACACTCTTCTAAACATTGTTCCTACATTTTTAATAAGGAACACATTTCCGTTTGATAACCAGAAAATGTTATTAAAAATAATTTTTTTAAAGGTTCACATGTAAACCAGGTGTAGAGGTGCACACCAGTAATCCCAGGACTCAGGAAGCTGAGGCAGGAGGGTTGCTGTGAGTTTGAGGCCAGCCTGGGCTACATAGTAAGATCCTGTCTCACCCCCCGCCAAGAAAGGTATGCGCGTGTACACACACACACACACACACACACACACACACACACGCATGATGAACTCTGAGGATACAGAGTCCAGTCACAGGTCCCGGCTGGGGGAGGCCTGTCCGTGGGAAGCAGGGCTGGGGAGCGGCTTAGCGGCAGAGGCCCTGGGTTCCATCCCCGGCACCGCCACCTACCTCCTTGAACTCCTGGATCTGGGTCTGCTCGAACATGGAGAACACGTTGGAGTTGGCCCCCTCCGCCCTCTTCTTGGCTTTCTTTGGAGACTGGGGGGACAGAGGCGATTAGAGGAGGCCCCTCCCCGGCTGAGGGAGTCCACCCGCACTTCTCCTCAAAGGCCAGGGGAGGGGAGGACAGGGCCCAGGGACAGTCTGTGCTCTGGGGACAGAGGCGACACCCGCAGAGCTCCGTTCGGATGCGGGGTATATGGCTCAGTAAGGCCTGGGGAGGATCGAGGGGGTGAATGCCAAGACCCAAGGGCACTTCTGGGGTTGCAACCCGCCTGCTCCCCCAGCCCACAGCTTTGATCCAGATGGCAGAGAAGCTTCAGTAAATGCCCCTTGCACACTGGCGGCGGGCGGCAGCAGCGCGGAGAAGAGTGAGCCACCCCTCTGCCCCACCCCGCTTCTCCCCGGTCTTAACAGCAAACGCTCAGGCACTTCATTCTCCTAGCCCCTCGGTCAAGCGAAGGCCACTATTCCCGCCCCACCTCACAGGGATGCAACTGTGGCCCAGAGAGGTTAGGCCCCTCGCCCAAGGTAACACAGCCACAAAAGCAGAGTCCGAACTGAACTCTGGCACCGACGCCGGAGTCCGCGCCCTGACCGCTGACCCACACTGTTGCAGTGCCGGGGGCCCTGGGAGAGGGACACCTGCCCCACAATACAGCAGGAAAGGTTTTAAATTTGCAAGTTCAAAAGGTGAAAACAAAACAAAACAAAAGAAGATTCTTTTCCCCAGCTGCCTGCACAAGAGAAAAGAATTACAATTTGATCCTTAAAAGCGCTCGATCCCATTCTGCAAGCCCTGGGAGGTATTGATTCCTCCCGAGGTCAGTAGACGAGCCATAAAAAAGCCAGGTCTCTTATTTTGTTTTTGAGAGTCCCCGGGAGGTGATGTTATTTGTGGCCAGTCAGAGCACTGACTGGGGCTCCTCCTCGCGCACTCGGCTCGGTCCCTGGCCCCGGGGGGCTGGAGTCCCCGGAGCCACCCCTCTCCAGCCCGCCCCGGCCCTGCCCAGCCCCAGCATCGCGGCGCGCCTCACCATGGTAGCAGGGCCACGGCACGGCCTCCCGAGAAGAATTCCACTCGCCGCCCGGCTCTCCTGTGCCCGCAAACAATAAATACTTCCTCCCCGGGTTTAAAAATAACCCCATGACCACTTTTGGCAGTAAAAGGTGAGGCGGGCACCACCTCAGGCCCCCCCACCCCATGCCGTTCTTCTGAAGTCAGGGCTGCTCCCTGCTGCCCCCGCCACCCGGTGACACGTGAGACCCAAAAATGCATTCAAGGTTAAAGAGGCAGCGGCTGGGTCACGGTCGCGGGAGAGATGCTGTGCGCTCTCCGCCGCCCCTGGGCGGGCCACACTTGTGCTTGTCAATTTGGGGAGAGAAACAGGAAGAGGGGACTCTGAGCTCTCTGTGACATCATCAGGCACGGGCAGCCCCAGGACCTTTGCACCTATAAGTCTGCTCCACCTGGCACGGCTGTCACTCATCCCCCGGCTCCCTCCTCCCATCTTTGCTCAAACGTCCCTATTTCTCTCCTCTGCTTTGTCTTCCTCTACAGTTTCTATCCATCCCGGGCATCCGGTGCAACTCGCATACTATTTTATTGGGTGCTGGTGCGGTCACGTCCCCAGGCCGGCTCCTCTTCCGTTCTCTCGCTTCCTGCGTCCTGCCTGGTGTCCAGCAGCAGCTCAGCGGCAAGTATTTGTTGACTGACTACAGAAATGACAGCTCTCGCCTACCAAGTGCTTGCTGTGTGCCGCACACCGCGTAGACGTGGGTCCTGCTCCTAGCAAAACGTCCGCCCCCCGTGGGCTGGGCCCTGTGGGAACTGAGGCTCAGAGCGGCGCAGCGAGCTGCCTGGGCCATGGAGTACCGGAGTGGGGGTGGATGTGAGCCCCGGTAAGATCTGACAAGCCAGGGCTTAGCACGAGGTACGTCCTCCGTCGCCTAAAAGCCGCCTGGGACAAGGGCGGGAGAGCTCAGGGCCCGGAACCCAGTCATGGGTGTACTCAGCGGCTACAGGCTTGAGGCCCAAGCAGCGGGTCCCTTCCTCGAAGGCCATCTGCTCCATCCTGGGGTGTGGCGCGGGGCTGAGGCCGCACTAGCGTTCATTCTGCTGGGGCGGGGAGACAGCCCCAAGGGACAAAAATCCGTCTGTCTCTAGTGGAGCTTCCACGCGATGGTAGGTGGACGGGAATAAACCAGCACACAGCCCGGCCACTCCGAGCAGGGACAGACCTCGCGCGGGAATCAGGTCGCCGTGCACGGCGGCAACCAAGCGGAACTGCTCCAGACGGGGTCAGGCGTCCCCTTGAGCAGGGACTGGGGAGGGGACAGCAGAAACCTCCCGGAAGGATTAACAGAAGGACCCACAGGGATGGAGTTTCCAGAATGCAAAAAAAGAAAAAAAGAAAAGAAACATTTTTTTCTTGGGTTTCTGCTGGCTGAAAAGAGATGAGCTCCCGGCCAGCCCTGAGGACATGGTGGAGAAACAATCTCGATTTTGGGAGCCAAACCCAAGGATCATTTGTTGCTGTGGCCGAGAAATAAATAATGTGCGGTTATCTCCAATCTCAAGCCTCACATAGGCTGGAACTACTCAAGAGCCTCCTCTAATGGAATTTCTTTCTTCTCTTTTTCTTTCTTTCTTTCTTTCTTTCTTTCTTTCTTTCTTTCTTTCTTTCTTTCTTTCTTTCTTTCTTTCTTTTTCTTTTTCTTTTTTTGTCCTTTTGAGACAGGGTCTCGCTATGCCATTCAGGCTGGCCTTGGGCTCACTTTGTAGCCCAGACTGGCCTCGCATTCGCAAGGATCCTCCTGCCTCAGCCTCCCAAGTGCTGGGATTACAGGCATGCGCCACCACGCCTGGCCTCTAATGGAATTTCTAACAGCACACGTTTTCCGCATGTGCGCACACACACATGCATATGCAGAGACAAGCGCACCGACGCATGCACACATGGACAACAAACAAATCACAGGTGCATATGTGGTGACAAAAGCAAGTTTACGCATGCGCCAACGGGGATTGCGTGCACATGCCCTTGCGGTCATGCATGACGCGCGCACTCCATGCACTCGTGTGAGTGTGCGCACGGACAGGCTCGCAGACCCTCGTTGAGTAGGGTTGTCTGCCAGCCGCATCACGGAGGTCTCTCCCACGGTTAGTCGGTGTGCCGGGGATTTTCATTAAAGCACCCTGTGCGCAGTCGGAGCCAACGCGACCTAACGGAGAGCGCGCTGCTGTCACCGCGGGTTCCGAGGGCGCCGTAGGAGGAGCCGGTCCGGTGGGGATGGAGGCGTGAGTGGGCTCTTGGGCTGTGTGCTGTATGCCAGGCCCTGGGTCTCTGCAGGGAACTGGAGACCCAGTTTCTCCTCGACCCTACTAATGTATTAGTACATTTTCAACATTAAAATTACTAACGGGTTGGGGCACCCCCTCCCCCAAACCAGAGACGGGAGCCTGGGAGTGCAGAACCCTGGGGAGAACTTGGGGTTTGAGTGCGTGTAGACTTGAGGGATGCATTCAGCCTCCACTTCCAGGGTGCCTGGGGCGGAGGCGGGACTCACGTGGGCGCCCCCAGGCCGGTGGCTGAGGGCCCTCGCCTTGGAGCCCCCCTCTGCTGACCCGGGGATTCCTGCAGCAGCGAATGCACCCAGCTCTGAGTGCCACTGGGCCCAAGAGAGAAATAACCGCGCGCTGGAGGCTTTCAGAAGGCACAGCAAAGACGGGGCCCAACAATCAGACGGCATCTTTCAGAACAATCGAAAATAAACCAGGCGTGTTCATTTCCTGTTGCTGCTGTAAAAATGTTATGGTAAACCAGGCGGCTTAAACCAGCTCCTGTTTATTTTCTGACAGTGCTGGTGGAGGTCAGAAATAGCAAATGGGCGGCAGGGCTGTGTTCCTCCTGCAGGCTCTCATGGGGAAACGGCTCCTGCCTTTTCCAGCTCCCAGAGGCTGCCCACATTCCTTGGCCCGTGTCTGCATCGTTCCAGCCTCTGAATCCAGCCGCTCTGACTCCTCTGCTTCCCTCCCATCTTGTGAGGACCGTGTGACTACCTCGGCCCTGCCGCCAGATCCAGGATCCTCTCCCACCTCAAGGCCCTTACTGCACATCAGTCCTATCTGCAAAGACTTTTTGTTGGAAGAGGCCGCGTATTTGCAGGCTCCAGGGCTTAGGACACGAGCTTATGTGGGCAGCCTTTCTGGTGCCCTCTATGCAGAAAGAAATAGGACTGTGGAGGAAACAGATCAACAGCTTAGTAACATTAACAACAATACAGCTTAAGCGTGTTAAAATGCTTGGAAATATACACCAGAAAAATCCCAAAATACCCCCTCAAAAAAAAAAAAACCTCCAGAACTGTAAGAACTAAATTTCTCCTCTTTCTGAATTACCCAATCTGTGTTGTGTTATAGCAACCCAAAATGGACTAAATCCAGAGAGATGCATACATACTAACCTTAGACTTGAGAAAAGTGAGAATTTATGTTCAGCTGTACGATCTTTAATCTTGAAAATGTACTAATATATTGACTCGCTTAGTTTTAAAAGCCCAGGCATTGGTTTACTCCATAAAACAAAGCTAAAAACAAAAAACAACCTTAGGGAAATTCACATGAAACTGACAAGTGATGTCTGCAGGTTTCCAGTCCCGATTTCCACGGCAGGAATCGGGTAGATGAATTACAGGAAGGCTGGTCCCTGTTACAATCCAAACAGTGGGCTGGGAGATGGTACCTGGGAGCAAGTGAAGAGATGCAAATAATCAACATTCGGGAGACAAGCCTAACATCAGCAAGTCATAAAGAAAATGTTCTTAGCTGGGAGAAGAGCAAAATGTGTAGACTGGAAAAACCCTCAAGCTCCAAGAAGGAAAAGATTAAAAAACATACTTCATCCAACAGTGGCAGCGCATGCCTGGAATCCTAGCTTGGGAGGCTGAGACAGGAAGATTTCCAGGAGTTCAAGGCCATTCTGGGCTATGATAGCTCAAGGCCAGCCTGAACTGTATGGTGAGACCCTGTCTCAAAAAACGAAACAAGCCTGGGCTTGGTGGCACATGCCTGTAATCCCAGTACTTGTAAATTTAAGGCTAGCTTGGGCTGCAAGTTGTGAGTTCAAGGCCAGCCTGAACTGCATAGTGAAACCTTGTTCCAAAAAGACAACAACAAAAAACATATATACCTGCGCATTTGGGTGTGTGCGAATACACACACACACACTAAGTGTATCCTGGCAAAATTCATGTACTTCAAGAATCGAGAAAATCTGGTATGCTTCAGAGGAGAAAGAACATAGCTCTGGTGAAAGAAATTGGACTCGTTCCACACTTTTTGGCAACTCTGAAGGCAGGAACACAGATCAAAGAGCTTTGATGAGAGAGCCTGGATCTGTAAGGTACTGGTCACCTGCTCGATTGGGGACAGGAGGAATATTGGGTTTCCTTGCTCCTCCCGTGAGCCTAATGTAGTAGTCCAGAGCTTTGTTACTAGACAAGCCAAGGTCTGAATCCACACCAGCTATCGCACTTTAGGTAGACTTCGCCTCTCTGAGTCTCAGTTTTCTCATCTGTAAAATGGGGATAATGTATTCACCTTATTGGGTGGTCATGAAGATTACATCAGAGAGTACATTAAAAGTGCTCAGTAAGTATTAGTCACTGTGATTTGGGGGCTGTTGTTCATTCCTGGAACTCCCAGTTGGGATCAGGTGATTTTTAGCTTTTCCCCAGATCTAGGAAATGTAGTCTCATGAGGTGGCGGGGGATCTCTGCCTAGGGACAATCCTCTTTCCCTTTACCACTTGGAGCACAATGGAGTGCCTTGGGGCCTTGGAAATTTTCTCATTTTTTATTTATTAATTTTTTTCTTTTTTGAGACAGGGTCTCGCTGTGCAATTCAGGCTGGTCTTGACCTCACTTTGTAGCCCAGACTGGTCTCGAACTCACAGCAGTCTTCCTGCCTCAGCCTCTTGAGTGCTGGGATTACAGGTGTGCGCCACCATGCCCAGGGGCCTCGGGATCAGTGCCCACATCTGAACTTTTGTCAGCACTCTTGCTGCATGTGCTCTGCTGTTAATAGAAGGGAGGCCTGGCCTGAGGGGATAGGTAAGGAGCTTTGGGGTCCCTGTAAACC